GTACAAAGCCTTTAATCACTTTTAATGTTCGTAAAAAGACCTCTAGATGGCGGTATTGTACTGTGTTTAAACACCCTATCTCTTATTGAGCCTCTCTCCCTCATGCTCGATTCCACAAACAAAATATTCAAAGGATCATTTCCCCTACTTAGTTAACTCTCATATTATTGGTTTTGCTCCACAGAGGTTGAATCGAGACTACCTGTTCTTGTTTGTAGAAGTTCAAAAATTTAGGGTTCAAGGTTTGAATCTCTGCACTGGCCAGCTGCAGCATAGAGACAGGCTGGAAATTGTTCCGAATCCATCCTGCCATTCAAAAACAAAAAAAACAACAACAACAAAAACCTTTATGGGTCCTCTTGATTTTTGTTGTGTTGTGCTCAACGTGCTATACGTGTTTTTAGCAAATTAAAACTCAAATAACATCTGCACGGCGATTTAAAAAAAATGCACGACTTGACTTTTTGCGCCGCGACATCCATTAACCCTTCAAAAGTGTAACCTTTTGGAAGCGTCTGGCCTCTGAACTAGGGACAATTGAACGAGTCAACCCCTAAATAACTTCACCGCCTCATCTCGATTACATTAAATTTTGAAGCGGCTCCCCAAGTAATAAAGTTAGGATTGATTGCATGCGAGGCCTGCAGCTGCTTAGAAGCAATAATGCATCTATCCAGGGGGTGAGAGGCAGGGTCGGCTCTAGACTGGTCGCTAGCCAATCGCAAGGCATTGATCGACAAACAATCATTCATACTTAGATTCGCAACGATGGACAATTTAGTCTTGAACTAACCTAAAATGCACATTTTTGGAAAGTGTATATCAATCAACGTCAACAGGTCTTTGGGTATAAATGCCCATCCTTTGCCCATCTTCAGTTGGATGTCAATCAAAGCGATTTTGCAGGACATGAATCGCTTAATGGCCGGAATTTTTTGTTTTGTCGCCACAAAGAAAAGCATTTAATCAGGTGCTTTAATCCAAGCGTGTAAAATGATGGAAGCGTGAACACACTACTTGTAATATAAATCTTATCAATAATTCACGGTGCAATTCTTCATTACTGTACTCCTTTTTTTTCCCTCGTTGTTGCTTTGTCTTTGCAAATGAGTGATTTGAACTTTAATCCTGCTGTTGTTTGCCTCACAATTGCATCATCTTTTCTCTGAAATTATAATTTCTTTGGTGCTGCTTATTTTTGAAATTATCATTTCTTTGGTGCTGCTTATTTTGAGTCCCCCCACCCTCCTCAACATACACTTGCTTTATGCGTAACGTATGAATCTGATAGTGGCACGCCAGAGAGGGACGGTGTGTCATCTTTAAACATTAGCAGAGTTGACATTAAAGCCTGTGAGATGACAGAAGTCTCGCCGCATTCGCCGAGTGACAATTTTCATTGGCAATCGTGAGTGATTCCATCTAGGGTGGGAACAGATGTCGGCCTCCATCGTGTAAACACTTCCAGAAGCGAAGCAGGAATCGCTTCGTCCTCAGAATCAATACGGCAAAGTGAAATAATCCCTGTTGGTTTTAAGTAAGTGAGTGATTCCATCTAGGGTGGGAACAGATGTCGGCATCCATCGTGGAAACCCTTCTAGATGCGAAGCAGGAATGGAATCGCTTCGTCCTCAGAATCAATACGGTTCATGCTTCGGCAAAGTGAAATAATCCCTGTTGGTTTTAAGTAATAGAGCAGGGGGGTGTCAAACTCATTTTTGTCGCGGGCCTGATTTTAGTTACAGTTTCCCTTGGAGTGCGGTCATGCATGTGAAACCATATAAATAGTGAAGAATAATGGTTTATTCAACTATTGTTTAAATTACTGTTATGAAGGTTTGGTAACAAGAAAATGCTTACAATATCTCCTATTTATTCAAACCGAGAATGTGAAACTTCAGAACAGATTTTAGCAAGCATCGTCGGAATTGACGTTTGATTTGCTTTCATCGGCCACATAAAATGATGTGGCGGGCCAGATCTGGGCCCCCGGGCCTTATGTTTGACCATTTACGTGGTTCTGCAACTTGTTTTCCTCTTGTACCAAGACAGCATTTAAAGGATTTGGATTGTGTTTTACAATAGTACTTAACACTATTTACAATTGTATTTGCAGTCTTGTTACGAACACAAATATCTTTGTTACGATACTCACGTGAGCTGGTGAAAGTAGAAGTTTAGTCGATCATTGCTACTGGTTGAGCAGCCACTAGAATCATGCACTGGGAAGGAAGGCACAACAGATGGTTGATGGGAGATTATCACGATGGGAAGAGGCGCCATGAGGCCAATTAGAGGTGGGGATGGGTTAGGCACAGATGGCAGCAGAACCAATGAGAATTCTTCTTACCTCGACATTTTGTAGTCCCGTTCCATCCCGATGAATAGCAACGGTGACGTTCGTTAGCATGATGAGCTAAACCTTGGTATTGTTTTATCAAGTGTGTCTTTTTGTCTCCAATCCCCGCCCCCACAAACATTTTTAAATGCTACACAAGTGAAACAAAATATTAGAAACAGCCCTAACATCAACCAATCAGTAGTGTTGCATCTCACTGACTAAAATATGAAGTAACATCTGGCCAGTCACTGTGAAGTGTAAAGTAATCGACAAAACCAGCAACAGAAATCGGCCCAGAATCAGATTACGGTCTTGGCAGAGTGTAAATTTTAATGTTTGCCCAGGCCTGGCAACCCACCGGGAAAGCACTTTGCCCAAAAGTGAGATGAGTGACAGTTCAGTGGCGAAGAATATGCAAATTCACTCTTTTGCAGTCCCAGGTATGCTTTTTGCTGTCAAGCTAATTGGGCAGTTAGCACCCAAAATCAGCCATGCATCTGGATCAAAATGGACGGTTCGGAGTGGAATGGGTTTGTCTTTGTCCACCAATAAACGGGACGCACCGTTTCTTCCACCACAACGGAAGGTTACCAAAAAAAAAAAACATATTTGGGTCACAGGGCTGAATACATCAGGCCCAAGGTGGGATCGTTCACAGACAAAACTTCCACTCCCGAGCATCAACAAGTTCTTCGAGGTTTTGAGCGCAGAGAGACAAAACTTACATCATCCGTCATACTGCTCTTGGCTCGTTTCTTCTGCCGACGTGTCAGCCAGTGTCTCCCGGCCCCCGTCACTGCGGCTGACAGACTGATGGACGATCTGTTGAGGGGAGGGCCGCTCGCAGCTGTCTCACTCGGGGATATGTGAAAGGACTATTCCCTCTCATTAAGGAGATTTCCCCTCCTCATGTGGCCCTTCGCGCCGTCATGTGGGAGAATTTTTGATGGGATGTCTTTAATCACCTTTGAACTCTCAAAAGAAAAAAAAAAGGAAAGAGGATTCCAAGCTTGGCCCGGTGAATTAATAAACAGCAGCGTGGATGGTTTGAATTGAAACAAAGGAAAAGGATCACCAGAGGAGATGAGAAAGAGAAGCAACAAGCGGATATGTTAAAGGATTGTCTTCATGAAACATGACAATTTTCTTTTTTTTTTTTGCCCCCGCCTAACAGAATATGTGATGAGAGGCTTGACAGAAAAGGTGGAATAATTTGGACCCTCAACTTTGCCTCAAGACATTCGGCTGTCAGCCTCCACATCCTTCCATCTGGAGGCCGCAGTAAAAAGTTGCTCTTCCATGGAGTATTTTCCAGATGTCTCTGTAGAGCTGTCAATCATCCTAATGTCGGGACAGAGCGCTTCCCTGTGGGTCACGTGCTTTTTTTCCCCCAGTCCAAAGACCGTCATAAAGCTGAGGGCTAAGTCCTAAATTAGCATTAAAAGTATGAAAAAGTTAATTAGCATGAAAAAGTATGAAAAGAAAACCCCCACTAACCGATCAGGCTGATTCAGACACATCTTTTTGACTCATTTGCTCGATGGCGCAAGTCTGCCTGTGAGCTCGTTTCCTTTTTCCTTTCTTGTTCCTGGGTGAAAATAAAACAGTATGATTTAAGAAAACATTTTTTTTAAGTTGAGCAAACAAACGGTGGCATTAGGCTACGCTAAATTCAATTAGCCTGAAGGAATAACTGACGGTTTGTGTGTGTGTGTGTGTGAGTGTACGGCGAGGCAATCTCGATATTCCCTCCAGAACCATTATGGTTAAGAATGTGTCATTGGTGATTGATGGTGCACTAACTGATAGCGTGGGCTTCGTTCATTCACATATATGTGTCAGTGCGTGCGTGTTAGCGTGAGCTATGGTTCCATTGTGTGTGTGTGGGTGTGTGTGTGCATGTTCGTCATGTCGTGCAATACTTTATATCGTATGTATTGATATATTTGTATAAATTCATGGAAAAAGCAATGGAGTGTGAATATAGTTTGTTTTGTTTTTTTTTAACCCATGTGTATCATAACATATTGAATGTCTCTTGCTATATTTTGCTTATCGCTAAAGAA